TTATAATATCATTAAGTGTGAAATTAAGGTGAATATAACGACAATATGTAATTTTACAGCGTCCACGGATAATTGTATACTATAATATTTTTCAATTTGTACCAATCAACGCTGATAAGTATAATAAATAACATCATTAATTCTATAGTTCACCATTACTATGTAACATTTAGAAGTAAACTTTTGAGATTGTAATGTAATTTTATTCACAAAGGATACCACGTGCACTTTATTTTAATTAGCACTGTAGAATGTCCCTTATATACATACTATATATATAGTTGCCGTACTCGTAAGCATCTTTGTCATTCCATATCATTTTAGTCTCCAAATGCCTTAACCAAATCATACAATTAACCTACACGATGATTATGATGATCAAGATGGGATCGATGCCCCGTATACAAATTTATTAGACCGTATATATATAACACGCATGATAATGATCACCCCCGCGGAACAATTGACCAACTCAGAAACTTAATTTATTAACTTTAACAGGCTTTAATTAATAAAGACTATGAACATATATCAAGAAGGGTAATGTTAGGATGATTGGTTGTTTACTTAAATATATTTTGCAAATTTAACCTCTAAATTTAGTCTTCCTATCATTATTCTATCAAGAATCTACAAAAATTACGAATACATCTGAGTTTTTCACGAAAATGGTACTTACTTGACCCAGTTGGACCTAAGGTCTTTTTTTTTTTTTTTTTGGGTAAACAAAAGCAGCTGGTCTTTAGTCTTTAGTCTTTAGAAATATATATTTATGTGTGTTTACTTTGCTTTGTTTATCTTCTACGTAAAGTAGTGCAAAAAAAAAAAAAAAAAAACCTAAAACTCATCCACCGTCCACAGACAGTGTCACACTTTGGTTGCTTCGATTGTTCTCCTCACTATACGTTTTCTCTTCTTTTTCCACTCAATTCCTTCTCCAAAATACTTGTCCACAAAGACATAAAATCATTTGCAACCCCTAAATGGAAGTGAAATACCAATTTAAAGACCAAAATGCCCTTCGAATATGGAAAATACTTTCATCCATCTCATGCAAAGACAAAGCTAGATATCTATATTGATGAGGGCATCCTCAAACAATAAAGTCACGAATTGAAAAGCTCAAGAATTTGCTAAACATAATACTAACTGATAAGGTTTTTTATACAATATATTACAATATCACTTGACACACTTTCTTAATTACCAATACCATCAAATATCTCTATAAAAATAACCTGTTATTATTCATCCATTGATCCTCCAATCAAATTCTTAATCGATTTATCAAAAATTTCATAGCCCAAACAACTCTATCACGTGAGATTGCAATATGCATTATGTGCATTTTTTCCACCCAAAAAAATGAGTGAGGGCATCGCCCCCTTTGAGCCAAGGGTGGCTCGATCCATGATCTCAGGAGTGCACCACTTTGTCCACTCATGCGATTAACGTATTTTTGTCATATAAAGTAGTTCATAATCAAAACTATTCATTTCCCTAATTCTCTTTTAAAGATCATCTCTATAAATTATATTTTATATCGGAGACCTGTTTAATCATCTATATATATATATATATATATATGTCTAAACAATCTCTAATTCAAAGAAACTTTTTTACAAATAATCTTTAAATAATAATTAAGAAACCGAATTTTTCTTATTATAAAATTTGTGAAATGCGTCAATAGCAAGAATTTAATTAATAAGGTGCGGCACATAAATAGAATGAATGCTAGTACCGTCTTTCCAATATTACTCACACTCGAGCCTTGAGGAGTTTTTGGTGAATTTGCATGCAGCTTCTCTGTATGATTACGAAGTCATGGGAGCCGAGCCGAAACGTCTCGTTCATTTGGCGGCAAGACATGGCGCGAGGTTGTAAAATAGAGCCAACGTGGCAAGCGTGTCAGTCAGAATGTTTGAACTTTGACAACGAAATTAAGTAAGATATTTTACGACAAGTTGAAGAAGAAGAAAAGAAGAGCAATGGAAGGATAACATGAAGCTTTCAGAGTACGAGGGGGGTCCATGAGATGAGGAGGAAGATAGTAGTCACGACAAAACGGGACAGTAACAACACCACAACAACTCACCCCGATCATGATCGATTCTTCGCAACCAGATTAATTAACAGTATGATTATTGCACCCTCAGGAGTGATTAGTAGTGAGTTTTATTTGTAATTAACTATAGCTAAATCCATAGTGCTCATCTACAGACTGAGCCGACAAGAACAATTATTGAGTAACCAAGCCTGAAAAAATGCAATATAACAAAACAAAAGAGGTCAAGCTACCATGTATATATCATGTAGTTAATTACGAGGACCTTACACTTAAAAAGGGTTTGTAGTTTCAATTTTGACGATTGAAATGTCTTGATTTATTTAATATTTTAATTAAGAAAATATGTTTTGTTAAAAAAATAAAAAAAATGTGAAATAGTTTTGTCACGTAACAAATATATTGGAGAAATATATATTTTAAAGTTTAATAAGTACAATTTTCTTCGACTCACATCACTAAATTGGGCTCAAAAGCAGGAATTGATCTCCGCTTTTACCATGAAATTTCTACATCGATTACTCCAATCAGTGATAGCATCAAATGAATATTTCACTATCGCTTGAACAAAAAAAAAAAAAGAACTAAAATGAGATAAAAAATGATACTTTAGAAAAAATAACCTTGATTAAGTGAACATATAGTTCCAAACTAAAAGGGATTATAAAAGATATTTAGAAAGAAAAGAAAAAATTGATAAGTTTCTATCTATAAATATCAAAAAGTTCAGCCACTTATTTGCCATAAATATTGGAATGGCACACTATTACAACCAGTCTTGTAACTAGTTTAGCAATTTTCTAAAGTCATAGTTAAGGAACATTATGATTTGTATTGGGAATTAGTCCATGCAAGGTCCCTTGTCTCATAATGTGAGATTTATTTTTAACACACTCTATTATATGTGACAATTTTCAAGTAAAATAAGTGGATATTACAAATGGAGTAATGTGGAATGAATGTGGCTGTCAGACTTCACATGGGAAACAACTTGTTCTAGTATAAAAAAAGTTGACGTTTCTTGTTAATCTCTTTGTAATCTTTTTTTAACTGTTCAAGAAAAATCTAGTATATATAAAGAGAATGAAAAAGGTGAATAGTGATTTGGTGTCACCATGCTTCAAAAAAAATATTTGGACAAAAATGCCTCCAAAACAAAAAACTTCAAAGGCATTTCAAAATAATACATCAAATAAGGTAGAAGCATTTTCTTCATTTTAATAGTATTTCTTTAATAATTTACTTTTTAGTGCTTTGTTTTTTATTTAGTATCTCACAATAAGCTATTAATAATGTGATTCAATTTCTTTATTTTTAAACATGTTTAAAACATCTTAAGAGGCGTGTCATGCCGGTTATAAAAAAAAAATTGCACGCGAATAACAATGTGATTAAATAAGTTATCAAATGATCGTTTTTCTTTTTTTTACAAACGATATTATCTACACTAAGGGTAAGGGGGTGAGCTTAGCCTCACAATGGGCTAGCAATAATGTGATTCAATCAGTTATTTATTAAATATTATTTTCTCTATTTTTAAACACGTTTAAAACATCTTAAGATGCGTGTAATGCCAGTTATAAAAAAAGGTCTTTTGCACATGGATAATAATGTGATTAAATTAATTGTCAAATGATTTTTTTTAAAATAAATGATATTACATAGGTATTTATAGAGTTTTTGGTTGAATTTTAAGTTAAATAATTTTTATAAATTATTCTAGCCGTTGGATTCAATAAATACATAAATATAAAACTAAAAAAAAAAAATTTGAACCTGGACCGTTGGATTAACCAACGGCCCAGTAATCAGTCACCGTTAAATTTGTAAAGCAGCCCAACGGCTACTTTGTTGCAATTATTGCGCAGGGAACAGCCCACGTGGGGCTGTCGGGTGGGAGTCTGAATTGGAGCGTGCGGCGCGTGGGAGAGTGGATGAAAGGAAAGTGGGCTTCACAGCCCGTGTTTCACTCACAACAGGTAGGGCCCATAATGAGTTTTGGCCTAAAAACGGGCTGGTATTTGGCCTTCTTTTAACTTTTAGGTTTTAGGTTTTATTTAGCACATGGGTTGGAGTGGGTTTTGGGGGGAAAAAAAAGGGGAATTTTAGGTTATAAGCCATTGTTGGAGATGGTCTAAGGGAGGGGGTGGGCTTAGCCTCACAATAGACTAGCAATAATATGATTCAATCAATTGTTTATTAAATATTATTTTCTCTATTCTTAATGTAAATTCTATAGAGACCAATTTTATTATGTGAATTCAACTGCTTTAATTCGTATATAAGGGATTTCTTTTAGTTTGATCTAAAACTATTCATTTACTTCAAATATTTGACTTTCCTTTTGTCAATTTACGCATATAAATACATTTAAAACATATAAGTTGCGAGAAGCATGCCGTGATTCAAAAAATATTTTCTACACGCACGTAAGCGCGTGCATGAAGGCTAATATTTAAGAATTCAACAAAGGAAAGTTGCCTTTTTAAACTTTGGAATGAAACTAAGCTAGCTTGTCAATTAATTAAATATGGTGAGAGGAGAATACGGACGGAAAGAAAGTAAAGAAGAAAAAGGCAGTTTCTGTAGGAAGCTAGGGCGACTGACGTCAGGTACTGGGGACAACCATCAACCCATGCGCAATCGAGCGGTCCTTCCCCTTCCCTTTTATATTGTCTCCATCTCTCCCCTCCTAACGGAATTTCTCTCTTTAAAACACTATCTCTCTCTCTCTCTCTTTCTCTCAAATTTTATTTATTTTCTGCTGTTGTTCAACGGAGTTCTACTACTTCTACTTGAATTTGTCTTCTTCTTCTTCATTGCTTTCTGTCTTTTAACGAGTAATTACACCAACACCAAAAGTTGATCAGGTAAGTTTAATTGATTATTTAATTAAATTAGTCTGTTTGCATGGAAAATTCCTTAAACATATACAAAAAAGCGTATAGCCAGCGTCTCATTAGTCATTCTCAACAAGTTAAATAAACTTTTAGGAATATTATTGATCTTCTTCTCTGTTTGTTCTTGGTAATTAAGACGGTGGAGCTGATCAGCAGAAGGCCTCTCTCTCCCTCTCATCCATCAATCTATTCAAATGCATTGATCCCAATTTCTAAACAAAAATATATGTATATAAGATCCATTCCCCAGCAGCTATATGTATAGCTAGGGTTTTTTTCTTGATCCTTTCACAAACTTATCTTTCATTCTCTTCTTCCTTTCGTTTTTGTTAAGAACTCCAGAGGCCAAAGAGGAAGAGGGATTCGATCTCAAGAATCTCTTATCTCGGATTTAGGGATAAATACGATCTCCACCACTCGAGCAACAAGTCCTCCGCCCGACACCTATTATGCTGGTTGTTAGGTCAAGACTTAGTCTCTACACATACCCGATGAGAAAAACTGAATCATTTCTCATCATGAAAAATTAAATGATTCTGATCTATTGATTTCTTGACCTAGCTATTTGAAGCACTAGCTTTGTCCCTAAATTAAGAGGCCCCCATCAAGTGGCATTTTACTCATGATCTATCTATTTGGTAAGAACTTGTAGAGTCTAAGCAAGAGAGGAAAAGAAGAGGAAGATACGGACCTGGAGTTTAAGGTCAGGATTAACTAATTAAACACATGGAGTAAGCTCATCTTGATGAAGTTTAATTAGCTAGAGAACACTAATGATTGTTTAAATGCATGCATGGTCTTAATTAATTTGTTCTTCTTTTGTATGTCTGGTATGGATCAGCAGCATTTTTGCTGAGTACTAGTCTATCACAGAAAAAGGGGTCAGATATTTGCCAGGGAAATTCTCGACAAACAGACAAGAGGGTCAGACTCCCCCGTTTCTGTAGTATGAGCTCTCTCTCTCAGTCTCAGACTCAGAGACTCAGACCAGAGAGTGGTCTCTCTCTTTTTTTCTTTTCTTATCCTTTTCTCTCTTAGCAGGCTTGATCGTCCTCCATCTTTTGGCTTCCAAACCCTTTTCCCTTTCGAGAAACGCATGCTTAACTGGGATCACGTCATCCTCCCTTTCCCTTTTTGCAATTCCCAAATTCGAATGTTATCTTAATTTTTGAGATTTTTTAGTATGCACTGATGTATACAATACGCTAATATCCGTGATTATAGAGTCTTAATATTAAATCTTTGGTTGCATAGGTAAAGTTTCATTTATTCGGTGCATATCATACACTATAGCATAGTTAAATTTTTGTTAATTTCTTTCCTTACCTTTAGAGACACCTCAACTTACAAAAAAAAAAAAAAAAAAAAAACTATTTTTTGTTTTGATACATAGGGTATGTTTATATATATTTGGGTCTACAAAAGTTGATTATTAAATTAATAGTGTTATTATACTACAAAACCCCGTTCTGATGCATCATTTCTACCATTCACCAAGACAAGACAACATCATTAGCACAAACCTCTACTTGTCCGTTTCTTGAGAGGCCCCCTTTCCCCTCTGCACAAAAATTAACAAGCTCCAACTTCCTCTTGGTTTTTCTAATCAAAACCAAACTCTCATGATTTCCTTTTCTATGATTCCATTTTACCTAGGGAAAATAATAAATTAATTTATCGTCTCTGAATCTCTGATCATCAGTTTCTGTGGTAATTAATTAACTAATTAAGGTTTTTTTTAATAATTTGTTTGTAACACGCGCTTATAATTATAATTCCCTGATCAAACCAGAAATGGTGGGGTTTGCTGACCACCAAATGAGCTGATGATTGTCTCTGATAACACTTTTTATTCATAGAATCCACATTATTCCTCTTATTTACAATTTTTATCTTCCTTTCCTACCTTTTAACAAATTAACGCTATGTGTTGGCGCTTTTTTTACGTTTTCTTCCCAGTTTTCATATTCTCTAGCTAGCTAGATCTACTTATAAGTGCCTATTGGTTAAGTTGGTGTGGTGGTGGTTACTAATGGCAGTGGTGACGAATTTGATGCAGTAGTAAACATTACAAACTACCAGCTGCGCTATGATGGAGTCAATCGAGTCTACTGTCCCACCCGGTTTCCGCTTTCATCCGACCGATGAAGAGCTCGTCGGGTACTATCTTAGAAAGAAAGTTGCCTCCCAGAAGATCGATCTTGATGTCATCAGAGACATTGATCTCTACAGAATCGAACCATGGGATCTTCAAGGTACTACACGCGTACTCTAATAGTACATGTACTGTTAGGGTTTCATACCTTGATCATTTTCCGGATCATGATAATTAGGGTTTTTGGTTCTCATCAAGTGGATGTTTCTTAATTTTTTTATATGTATATATAACCTTATACTAGCTCTAACCTTGTGTGCTATTTTGGGGATTGATGGTTGGTTCCGAATGCATACTAATCCACAATACTTGATGCATTACATTTCTAATTAATCAACATTTATTTTACATAACATGGATCTTGATGGTCTTATTGGCATTAATGGACAGAGAGATGTCGAATCGGATATGAAGAGCAGAACGAGTGGTACTTCTTCAGCCACAAAGACAAGAAGTATCCAACTGGGACAAGGACCAACAGAGCAACCATGGCTGGGTTTTGGAAAGCAACGGGTCGAGACAAATCAGTATACGATAAGGCAAAACTGATCGGGATGAGGAAAACCCTTGTCTTCTACAAAGGAAGGGCTCCAAATGGACAGAAGAGCGATTGGATCATGCACGAATACAGACTCGAATCTGACGAAAATGGACCTCCGCAGGCAAGTGATCGAAACTCATCATCATCATCATCATCATCCCTCTCTACACACACACAAACACACACACTACACGTAGAGTAAAACCTAAACCTTGAAGCTGTATTCAAGGTCACTTGTTGACCTAGCTAATACGTTGGTTGATTATCTGTTCCCATCACTTTATAGACAAAAGTGTCAATAACAACACTTTCTCTCTCCATGCTCGATCGTGGAAGATATAATAGGAGCCTCCCATGACTTCTTGATATGAGACCTAATTAACGTTTTTACAGCAAACGTACACCTATAAATTATTTTACAAATTTATTTTTATTCCCCTTTTGTGTTACAAAGGTCAATGGAGGAAGGATTGATGTTCAAACTGTTGACCTTTTTGTTTTTGTTTTTGGTTTTTTGAGTTCTGAAAATTCAAAATATCTAGCCTACTTCTACTCATCACTTTACTCAGTGGCTTGAATTGTTGACCTTCAATATAAGATAAATGCTCTTTTGTACAGAAGTTTAAGGAGAAACAAGTGCAATAATAATTTGGAAGTGTAGATTTTTGTATGAGTCTCACATCCATCACAATTGACTATATAATGCAAATCTAAAAAAAAGCAGAAACTAACAGTTTTTCTAAATGGAATAGTAGAACAATCTCACTTAATTTGCATGCGTAACTCGTAGACACTAATGTATGCACATTTACTTCCGCCAACGCCACATCAAAGTCAAAAGTTAAAGCCTTCAAAGGCGCGTATATATTAATTTGCTTTCTGCCAATTCATCTTCTAACTGTGGCTTTCAGTTCGTCAAAAAGCAAAGTTCCATTGCATGGCCATTACCTTTAGATTGACATCAACTTACTACCTCTCTCTACCAAACAGAAAGAAAACTCCAAAAGCTAATTAAAGAAAATGCATGTATATTAAAGGTAGGAAAGGGAAAATTTTGACTTTTCTCCTAAAGGAACATTGACCCTCTCAACCTCTTTCCAGTTTCCACCAACAAAATGATTAAGAATTAAAATAATCGAAATGCATTAATTAATTATTTCTGTCTCCTTCCACTTACAAATAAGTACCTTGGTTAAGTTTTTGCAGGAAGAAGGATGGGTCGTGTGCAGAGCATTCAAGAAGAGAACCAGTAGTCAAAACAAAAGCATCGAAGGGTGGGACTCAAGCTACTTCTATGAAGAACTTAATGGTCTCACTTCCGTCGCTGATCCAACCAATTATATGATCTCGAGGCAGCCCCAGAGCTTTTTAAGCCAGAATTTCATGTGCAAGCAAGAGACAGAAGCTGACAGTTTGAACTTCCTGCACTCTGATCCGTTTGTCCAGCTTCCTCAGCTTGAGAGCCCGTCTCTTCCCTTAATAAAGCGGCCGAGCTCAACGTCTCTTATATCGGAGAATAACATCGAAATAGAAGACCAGCAAAGTATTCGAGGGTGCAACGATGCCAAGAAGGTTACTGACTGGAGGGCTCTGGACAAGTTTGTGGCTTCACAGTTGAGTCAAGAAGAGAGATATGAAGGTGATGGAGAAGCAAGCTTTGGTGCAAATGATGAATCAGATATGGCATTGTTGTTGTTGCAGAGTAGTAGTGCTAGGGATGAAGATGATCAACTGGGAAACAAGTTAAATGGGTTCCTAAATTCGACTCCTGACTGTGATATTGGGATATGCATATTTGAAAAATAATGAAGCAAGAGGGATAACACATGGGAGAACGTAATTTTATTGGTACGTACGTAGGTATTATAAATGGTATAAGGGTTGATGAATGTCGATCCTAAGACATATATTTTTATAAAAATATGCTTATGAGTGTATTTCTTTCCCTCTCTCTCTCTCTCTCTCTCTCTCTCTTCCACACCCCTAACACACATGCATATTTGAAAAATAATGAAGCAAGAGGGATAACACATGGGAGAAGGTAATTTTATTGGTACGTACGTAGGTATTATAAAATGTATAAGGGTTGATGAATGTCGATCCTAAGACATATATTTTTGTAAAAATATGCTTATGAGTGTATTTGTTTCTCTCTCTCTCTCTCTCTTCCTCAGCCTTAACACACATTCACACTCACAAGGTTTTATATAAGTAACTGTGTGTACATCTCATGAAAAATTATTATATGGTACTGAAATGCATTTACATAGTAAAATTAGCTTATCACCTATTATTATATAGAGAGAAGACAGATTTATGATTCTAATCTATGTGCAATAACAATATTCCAATACTACACAATAATTTCCCCTATATATATCCTATATATCTTACGATTCCTTCCCACATCACAATTATAAAAGAATGCTTTTAATTGATCAACAACTCAATTGATTGAGGTTAAACCCAAAAGGAAAAAGTTAAACAATACCAATTAATGGTCTTGATGGATAATGAATACCATCATCTCTACGAATACTATAAATTAATTTAGAAAAATTATGTCATTTAGTACTACAACATAGTGATATTCCTCTTTATATATAAGTGAAATTTTATGATCATATCTTGTCAATGATGAATTCGATATTAATTTATTTTCTTACCCACTTACTCTAAATATATCATTATATTAAAGAAAAAAAATATTAGAAAAATGATTTGCACACCCCATTTTCTCACCCTACACACCATGTTCGGTTTTCACCTTTGAATTGAATAACTTAAAAGAGAATCAAGGAGACAGAAATTAACGAGAATATGGAGGAGATAAAATGAGTGTATGAAAATCATTTCCTAATTTATTTTTCATCTTTGATTTTGAACAAGACCACTGTAAATTATGGAAAAACATGTTAGCTTACAGTAAAAATGCTTTGATCTAATGTTGAAGTTTATTCAATCTATTTCTTTTGTTAACAAATAATAATAATGTCAAGAAAATTGATTAAGATTCCATCTTAATGATGGAAATGCTAAGGGACTCTCTCAAAAGTGAGACTTTTTATTGACTTTCTGTCATCTCATAATTTAACATCAATTTTCGTGTCAATATCATAAATATTATACCAAAAATATAAGGTGACAGAAATTCATGAAAAGCCATAGAATACCCGTAGCATTTCCCCCCACCTTATACCGTATATCAACCAGATTACAAATGGTTAATATACAAATCATTTACACCCACTAATAAGAACAATAATATATATGTCTGGTCTAGTGCAAGCTGCAGCGTTAGAGTCACCAAAACGAAAGCTGCATTAACAAATCAATTGCGAAAGCTGCATTAACAATAAGTGAAAAGAAATACAATTAGATCTTAGTCCTAAGTGGCAGTGAGATTATATATTTAAATCATATTTTGTAAACCTATAACGTAGTTGTTCGTGATTTAATTATTACTTAATTGTTATTTATTAATTAACGTATTTATTTATTATTAATAACACATCACATAATTTATAAATGTAATTTAAAATTTTGACTTACTTAGCATTACGCTACTATTATGAAATGTGATAAATAATGCAGACAAACAAAAACATTCAAACCAAAAGAATGCGCACACTCCATGCTTGTTGAGTGTTGAGTAAATCCATGCATGAAATAGACCAGCTACATTGCATGCTTGTATATGTACCACTTTCGAAGCATATGATCATATGATAGGTCACACATCTAATTAACTTGCAGTTCCTCACATGCGTTCCTTACAAACAAGTAGCTTAATTAGATTATTATTGTGATTATATTATTAACTCTTATTATTTTGTCGAAGCTTAATTAGATTAAGAATGGTGGTATCCTAGGAGATATTCTCGTCGGATTCTCTTTGTGAGAATCCCGTGAATCCTTTAATAATATCCGTTTATCATACATCATTCGATCAGTTTTCGTCAGGTACTATTTGTATTTAATTTTGAATAATTTAATTTAAAATGATTTTTGATCTCATGATGTACGATGAAAGTAATCTCCGGCGAGGATCTTATCTCGTATCTTGGGTGTGGGTATGGTGGGTCCAAGGGTTGTCGACCGTCCAGCATGCGCTGTGTAACGTGTTACCTGTTGGCCATGCTTTGTTCCTCATTGGCTTTTGGCCTCTCTTTTCTATTTTTAGCTTCACATGCATATGCCCTCCTATATCTGTATTGCCACACACTTCCAATTTTAGGCACGAGAAACTCCAGCTTATATTTTCAACATTGCACTACAATTCATTGATATTTAAATATTGGAGTTCTTATCGACAAATAATGGAGTTGGATGAACTAATCAAATAAAAATTTTGATCTGGCTTTTTCATGATGTGGACCATTTTTAGATGGTACTTAGCATATATATTTATCTCTATAATTTTTTATTTATTTGTTTACATTCATTAGTTGAATCTAAAAACTCTAAGCGGCGTAATATTCATTTTTTTTGAAATATTGTAAATTTTTCTCATTATATGTATGAATTGTATCCAAACTTATATTCTCTTTTTTTCCTTTTCTAGAGAGGTTGTCGATTTTTCCATTAAACTTGTAAGGAGTTGTCAATTTCCCTATGAATTTTAATTTAGCCAATTACTTTATGAACTTTTATAATTGGTCAATTTCTTACTAAAATTTAATTTTAACCAATTACCTCTCTAAACTTTGATAATTGACAAATTTTCCCTAAACTTTAATTTTATAATTGCAAAAAGGTATGTGGACAACATATTGTTTTTTTCTTCTTTTATTCCGCTAATACGTCTTTCTAGAATTGTTTTAACTTACATGATGCAACATCATCTTCTATTCTCTATTGTTATATCTCTCTTTTAGCTTGATGGATCTACTCTAATCAACCAAAAATCGACCATATTATAATGCATAATTGGTAGGACCTAATTAGAATGGGACACTAGTAAAAATGTGTTTCACTTTTAACTAATCAATCATTAACCAATGTAATGTGTAAAAGGCACTAAACGGAAAGCCTTGCAATATAGCATGATCCACATGTAATTTCTAGAAGGCATTAATATTAAACAGAAAACAATTATTTTCACTTGAGATAGATTAACATGTTTTTTATGTGGGATCCAAATGCACCTTAGCCATAAAAAGTTCCTTTCCACAACATATGATGCAATTGCCAATAGAAGCATGCCAAATTTCAGCATGTACAAGTTGATTATTACACTATCTAGTTGGGAATGATTACCACCAAGCTATTCTTATGATGAAAATTCTAAAGTGCAGAGTGGCTTTCCGGTGAATTGGAAAAGTAACATAAACAGATGCATAGTATGCACTACTGTGCTAGTAAGTAACATTCAACATTAAGTTCTGTGAGCCTTCCCCCACGCCCCCCCCCTCCGGAATAGTGGATTGCGATAGTGAAACCACTACTTAGTCTCGTGTTTAAAAAAAAAAAAAAACACATTCTTCTAAGTTGTAACTCATGAATCCTTAACATATTCGAATTGATTAAGATATTTTAACTTATACATTACGTCACCCTCTTTCACTACTTAGACTTTATAAATTTCATTATAAACACGAATAGGAAGAAACCTAGATTCCGAACTCTAATTAAGAGAGCACCTAAAATTTATTACTCCAATAGTTTGCCTGATTAGTTTATGTGGAATTGGAACTTTGTCTGCAACGTTCAGCCAAAATTTCATGAACACAAGTGAGTTGTACATAGTGTAGTAACTATTGGACCCTTATGATGAGTTACTATATTTTATTTACTATATCTAGTCATTAGTGTATAGCAAAAATAATTATTGCCATTTCCCGGCCCCGTTTCAGAAAATGTCACATTCAGCAGCCCCATCACCACGAGCTGTGAGACCATCCACGTTCCATCAAATGATCTAGTGCAGTGAAAACCATGTTGATTTTTGAATTGAATACATAATCACCATTGCCAAGCCGGTCCCAAAAGCCAAAAGGATGTATATTTATATCTATGCTAATTATTCCCAAAAATGAAAGGGTCAATCACATTTTATTTTCCAAGGATTGAAGTGATTTTCAAAATGAACTAGAAAGTTTCAGTTTTGGTAGTCGGGGTTCTACAAACCCATATTAGCAAAATTGTTCGCAAGTACATTTCCTTTGTGACATATGTGAGAGGTCTGGAAAGTCGTTTTCCGAATGCGATTTAAACAAATAGATCATTGCATATAAAGAGGTCAAGAAAGATGAAAATTAGTCGATTGAAGAGCGAAAGTACACTAAACGAGCCATTTGCAACATACAAGAAAGAGGAATGGGAAAGATTGAAAGATGAAGATGGATAGCGATTAGTAATTTAGTATAGTGGTTGACCAAAAAGCTTTCCTTTTGGACAACAATTATACCTTAAGAATATTATGATGGCACCAGCAAATGCAAACCAGCTCTCCTCTCCTCTGGATATAACAATCAATTGGGATCGTATTCCGATTCAGAGATGCCATATTAACAAAGACCATGCTGAGTGGCACCAATGAGAATCAACCATTGCTATCTGAAAAGGAAATTGGTCTTTATCCACTTCTCTAATTAGTCAAACGGCGCAGAAGAAACCTCACTCTCATGATGTTGCACCTACACTCGAGTTCTTGTCATAACTTTTCATTTTTCAATAATCTAATTAAGAGGGAAAAAAAAAAAAAAGATACGAATCTAAGGGGGTGTATTCAATTGAGATTTTGAGGGATTTTAACTCTTTTAATGAATTTAGGGGTATTCAATCAAGATTTTAAGTGATTCTCTGAAATTCAATGTGTATTCAATCAAGATTTTAAGATAGTTTATTAAAATCCTTAGAAATCCTGGTGTATTCAATTAGAATTTGAATTTAAAGAATTTGGAAAAATTAAGGAATTAGAGGGAATTTGAGAGATTTTGTAGTGTATTTTAAGCACACAAATCTCACCTCTCCCCATGAGATTTTGAGGGAATTTAATCAAAATTTTACATGAAATCTCTACAATTCAGTTAAACTCCATAAAAATACATGGATTTATAAATCCATTAAAATCTCTCAAATTCTCAATTGAATACATCCCCCTAAATATAAACAAATAAAATGTTGTCACGACCAATTTTGAATATAAAATTTCAAGATTTTTTTTGGTGTGTGTAGCATTACTCATAACATTTCCTTCTTTCTTCGGTTTTCAAGTTACACGCATCCCCAAATTCAACGAGCTCGCTGCGAAATCTGACCTTAGCACTTGGATAATTCAAGTAGCAAACCTAGCAATGATTTTGTTCTGTTTAAAGATCATGTTTTAAGTAGGCCTTTTCTGTGAATGACTCAACATGGATAAGGAGAAACTATGTTAGTGATGGGAAAAGCGATTCGTACTGTTTGCCACTCTGCTGTATACACACACACACACACACAAAATATCCCTTGTGGCTTATCCATCGTCTCTACCAACAAAAAATATTTAGGAGGATGCCTACGCACTGCATTGTATGGGGATTGAATTTGAAGCTGTAACCCCAATTCGCGTATGTAAATTAAGTCAGCTGGCTACTACAGTGTGTCTAGTCTGTTAATCGAGTTTGATCCTATCCTCGTAAATTAAATTATTGTCAACCAAAAATAATATATAAAAAAATTTATCCTAATTCCAGCTTTGGCGTTTGGGCATAACCCCCAGGCAATTATTGATGGGATTGACCAGAAAATAAAAAAACAGATTACTGATGGGATGGACTGAGAATGCTTGAATCATTGATGGGCTAGGTTAGAATTGACTGGGCTTCTACGTAGTCAGCCCAGCTTACAATATCATGTGCATCTTCCAAAAGAAAAAAGAAAGAGTCTAGAAGAGACTAGAATCGTCGAGTTTTATAAACTTCTGCACTACACTACTTTCACCCTTCACCAAATTTTTTTTTTCTTCTCTTTTTTATTTTTGGATAAGTTCACCAAATTTCTTTACACATTCTTTACAAAGCAATATTTCACTTTAAACTACTAGCACAAGCAACAACATATTTCGAATTCAGTTATATAAATAAGCACCTTCACTCTTGTTAGTGAGAGATTTTTCTAAGTATCACATGTTCCTCTACTTATTTTATGGCGGGCAAGTCTCATTTGATAGAAAATCACAATAACTATTAAATGTATTAAAGGTACTCCAAAAGAAAAACTAATGGCAAATTCTTTAGATTGTTCAAATTGAAGATAACTAATTACCCATTTTAATCCTATTTTGTAATTTGAGAAGCAGTAAAAATTGTGCAAGAAATGTTATTTGTTCGTAACGTAACGTTAAAAAGATTAAATTTTTAAAATTAAATTACAAAATGAATGACATATCATTAATAAAAAATTTAATTACATTAATTAACACTTAATAAATAATTCAATCATCTATCTCCACTTTAATTTGTAGATTTGATGTTGTATTAACTACTTATTAGAACTCTTCAATCTTGTTGAGAAAATCTCACTTTGTCATCAGATTAAACAGAAATTAATACGAAGAAGAGAAAGACGAAAAGGAAAACTTGGAATTTTCCCAAAACATTCCCATACATTCACATACAAAAACACAACTTTCTCCAACTTATTATTTCATCCTACTTTTTATATATATCTTTTTTTTTCTCGACATATTTCAAGCAGCAGACTTCATAGATTTCTTGGCAGCAGAGCTCTTGATCGACTTGGGCTGCTTCGGCTTGGCTGCGGCCGACTTCTTGTTCTTCCGTCCCGGCTTCTTACCAGACGAGGTCGTTTTGGTCTTCTTCTCCGATTTTGGTTTCTCAACGGCGGCTGTTTTGGCTGCGGATTTCTCCTTCTGCCCCGCCTCCGAGAGCTTGTACGAGGCCCTGATCTTGATCAGCTTCCCTCTCGCCGCCGAGTTCTTCAGCTGCAGAGCCAGGGTCTTCTTGAAATTCGCCGGCAGCACCGCCTTGTGCTTCTCCTCCATGTGCTTTGCTATGGCGTACGGACTCGACCCGCTCTTCTCGTTCAGAGCCAAAAGTGCCTCTTTTATCATCTACAAACAAAATTCGCAGCCAAAATTCAAAACCCAGAAGCCAAAGCTGGTGGAGAAACTAAAGAAACCATGATCTGAGATCACGAATCCAAGTACCTGAAAGTATGGAGGATGAGCGGCGGTTTTGGTTTTGGGTTTTGGCTGTTGTGGCTTCCTCTCTTTCGGAGTCCTGGGTTTCGTCTGCTTAACCGGCTTTTCTTCCTTCTTGGGCTCCTCCGTCACCGGAGCCTCCGTTGGCGGCGGGTCCATGACGGAAGGAACTTGAACTTCTTCGGTGGCTGACATCGCGAAAACAGAGTAAAGAAAACGCTAGAATTTTCGTTTCAGAACCGACTGACGCCATTGGAAACTGGACCTCTTGGAATTTATATGGTGGGAGCAATCTATGGCGGGGAATCTGGGCTGTGATTGGTTGGTTTGAGGTGTTGGGGATTGCCAGGTGTGCAGAGGAGAGATCTGGAACGTACACGTGGATAGGGAGTGGAATGCTGGATTTCCAGCGTGGCAATCCTGGTTTTGATTGTGGTGGGAAGTGTGTTTGTCTGTGTTTTTCTAGTTAACTTTGTCGGGGATTTTCTGTCGGTTTAATTTGCATTTGGATGTGGAGTTTCGGGGTAGTTGAAGAGAGGAAGGTGCGTGTTTTGCAATGTGGGTTGGAGGAGGCAAAATGGTTGACATTTAAGGGTGAAATTGTGGCACAAAAGAATAACAGTTTCTTCAGAGGAAAAGAAAGAATAACATTTCTTTCGTTGAATAATTGGGTTTATAATTAGCAAAACAACTTCCATAAATGAGAATCGAGGAACAAAAACAAAAAGAAGCGTGCACAAAAAGATAAAACACAACTTCGTAAATTCACATGTAGAATAACTCTACTTCTATTTCTTTGTTCTGATTCTATTTATCTTCTCGCTAACGTCTATTGTTTCGCGTGATTTACATTTTGAAAATGCTCAAATTTCATGCACGAGTTGAATACACTCCCCGTAAACTTATATCAGAGTTGAAGCTTCAGTGTTTAAATTTTATGGTCCATCAATTTGACCTCCTACTTAAGAAGTAAAATATCAATTGCGTGTAGCCCTATACTCAAAACAAACAAAATTTTGACAAAATGACTAAAGTGAAACACGCGACACAATTAAAGGACTAGAATTTAAAAATTAAACTAATGGAACAAAGTGTAATACGGATATACGTTCAAAGACCACTACCCTAATCAAATTTTCACATATGTAATCGATCGAAAATTTGTACAACATCCATCATGCATTTAGTCGAGTGTAACATACAACGGAATATTTGGTGAAATCATAACAAACAAGAGATAAACTATCAACATCTCAATAAATTCACCATCCAATGCAAAGCCTCGGCAAAATTGAAAGAACAAATGACATGACAGAGGAACTTCAGAATATTCTGATTTGGAGATCAACTTCTCTGTACGACACAGTATTATTCGACACTGCCAAACAGAAAAGTAGCACCATAATACATAAAATCAAACACACCATATATTGTACCGAAACAAGCATCGATCCTGACTTTCTATACGTCCTCATTTGGTGTTCAAAATTGGACTGGATTTGGATAACTCACTAGATTCAGTGTATGTTGAATGGATGCCTACTTCCAAATTTTGTCAACGTTGAAGGTAAAAGATGGACTCGTAAGAAGAAAACTAATTCCCACAGAACTGGTAGGATCGGGAGGGTTAAGTTTCTTTCAATTGGAATTTTGCATCCATTTCTTCCTTCAACATACACTGCATCTAGGGAGTTACCCAATCCAATCCGATCCTGGACACCAAACAAGCCTATAGGGTTAGCAGTTATCCATGCTTCTACATGCTCAATGTTTTCAACAAGTATGGAACTTATAAACTGCTAGTAAGAAAATCCCAATGTTATGTGATATGCAACAAGAGGCACGGTTCATGCAGTTCAATCAAGAATGCAGTTCAATCAGCAGAAACATCATAAACGACCAGCATTTGCCTAATCAATCACAATATTCATAAAATCTAAAGCCCTAACGGAAAGTAATCGGATAATCAGAACGAAATACAGCCTAAGCGACTACCCATTTGAAAATACAGACAATATACCTTTAACTTCAATTGAGAACCAAACACATTAAGTATCCCGCCCTCAATTTTCAGAAGTAATAAAAATCATAAAATGGTCAGAGCTTAAAAACTACTCGCCCAACAACTCGTTGTCACCTGAAAAGAAACGAATTCCTTATTCCTCCTCAAGGGGATCCCACAAGATAAATTTTTTATGGAATCAAATATAACTGGGCACCGTATGACCTGATCAATCACTTATGCTCCTCGCAGATATACATCCAAGCAAATGTTGTTGAATTTTGTAATTCCAAATGGCATCAGCACTCATCCCTCCGGAAAAAATGAAAACTAAGGTATACCTCTGGCAGAACAGTTTCATGACAAAAGGCAAAAATGTCTGCGAGCCGCTATATCCATGCTAAATACAAAAAAAAGAACCCAAGCTACTTTTCAGTATGGAGGAAAGAACCACATAACATCATACACACCAACATCAGAATGTCATATAGAAGCCTACCCTAATTTAGAAAAACCTCTGAGAATATAATCATTCAAGTTTCTCATTTATTTCGAAGAGAACTCCATAATTCATGCGTATTGTCTCTCCATAAAAAACAGTTGGTTTATCTTCATCTGCATGTTTAATCTTAACCCTTGCATCTCCATGAAAAAGGAAAAACCCTAAACTGAAAACCTTTCATCTCTAAAACCACCAAACTTGATTTCTCTAAACCACAAAATTAACTGCAATCAACAAATAATTGGCCCGGGTCGGTATTTATGGATAGGGATGAAACAAGTACCTTAACTTCAAAAGAACAACGACAACAAAGTTCATCGAGTTGTCCATGCCTAATGGGTAAGTCTCTTTTGACCTCCACTATACACATAATTACTAGTTTCTAAGTCAAGACCCTTGGAGACTACCTAAACTACGAACAGAAAAGATTTGGAAATCCTACCGAAAATTAACTTAATGGGCAACTAACAAGTAAAGAAGACAGATAGAAAAGGACGAAAAGAAAGATGAAGATAGAGAAGAGAAAAAACTATGCAACTTCTTTCTAACAGCAAGCCGGTAGCCCATCTTTGATAAAGTACACCTGATCACAATTAAATAAGAGCCATTAGGACATTAACGTACAAAATTCACAATAACATATTAGAACTTAAAATCACAAAACACTCGTACTACCAAAAAGTTCTTGAGTCTAATAGTAGCGGCCACCTCCATATGAGTAATTGCTCCCGTAATAAGATGAATATGGACCAGAATTATACTGCAAAATGAGATTTGATGCACCATAGTTATGTAAATGCAACATGTAAAGTCACAATCAACTGATCAAGTGAACATCAATTGCTTACTTTGGGACCATAATAATCATGAGGGTAGGCACTGCTGCCAGCTCCATACGTATCTAAAAGACAGTCACTTAAATGAGTAAACTGACATAAAAGTACACAGGAAAGACGGGGAGAAGAGAGGGAAATTAAAAGAAAACTGAGCATAAAATCTGTACCCCTATAATGGTTTCCTCGAAACGAAGCTGCTGGATCAGTGTAATCCAACCGTGGGCGACGACTACTAGACTCCGAGTAGTCATGATCATAGTCCTAGAAGTAGCAGTTTCATATGATAAGGAGTACCATAAAAGGCTTAAAGAAAAACCAAAAATATAAAAAAATAAAAATCAAGGGAAGCTTACTCTCATATGAAATGCGCGTTTTATTCCATGTGCGTTATCATCATAAAAATAAGGATCGTCAAAATGAACCCCCATGAATGGTCCATCAAGGTGTCCTGGACCTGGAGAATATGGATGCCTCCTAGGAGGAATATGCATACCATAGCCTCTATCAGGGGCATCATGCCAAGGTTGATCTGTGTAGGGTCTTGATGGTGGGGCAGCAACTGGAGCACCTCCATTAAATCCATAACGGCCGCCCCTGAAGGAGCCCCTTCTTCCCCCTGATAAACATAACAAAATCAGTAAGATTTGTTTAAACTACAAGACTAATGTAATCACAATAAATACCTCGTCCATGAAACTCATATGGGTAATTGAAGTCATATTCATTCTGGAAACCCATCCTGCCAGTTTGACCACGTCCACCAGGATAGAAATGTCTGTCGGGTTGGAAATTTGCACGGTGGAAATGATGTCCACCGCGACCAAAACCCCGTCCTGTGAGCAATAGAGCGTCAGAACAAGAAACAATGAGCAAATCAAAATGAATTTTCAATAAAAAATCAAACACATCTCTTACCAGATCTTGGAAAGATACCACTACCACCACCACGACCAATTCGAAATCCACCGCACATTCCACCCTTCACAGCCTGAGTTTTAGGTAAAGGATTTGAAAGTCTTGCTTTCACTTTTACCTAGCGTTACAAAAACCAACATGGGTAGGTAACAAATTAAAATAGGGATCGAGAGTATGTTACTTCAACTACTAATTCTGACCGAGGCAATCGTATCTGAAGAAAATAATGGCCAACTTGAAATAGCAATAACAATTGTAAAGACATTTCGTCCGTTACATGTGTACGTATGCATGCATGTAGGGTGGTGTCTATGTGTCTACTTGAGTGCACGGATAAATGCAAATCAGTTAAAGAACATCCCCATCCTTATCTAGTCCAGCTTCAATATCAATATTCATATTTTTCCAATGTGCCAGAGAACCTAATCATTGTTTCTGTACAGAGAGCTATGGAGTGTGTGTGTGTGTGTGTGTGTGTATGTGTGTGTGTGTGTGTGTGTGAGAGAGAGAGAGAGAGAGAGAGAGAGAACACATGAATACCTTTGAATTCCCATCCACCAGTTCTATGTTATTTATACTATCAACAAAGGCCACAGCAGATTCATGGGTAGAGAAATCAACAAATCCAAAATCCCTCCGCTTGGCTGTAGACATGTTCCGAGCCAGAACAACGCGTAAGATTTCACCATAGCATTTAAATTGCTCTCTAACTCTGTCCTCATCCCAATGAGGTGGAAGCCCATCCACAAATACGGACTTCACTTGGGACATGATCTCTGGGTCAGGCTCACGTATAGGTTCAGCAAAAGCCACTTTGGCAGTTCTTTCAGTGTGGCCAAATATAGCATCGGGCTGCTGAAGCCTCTTGTATGCAAGCAAAGCATCACCATGACAAGAGAATTCAATAAATGCAAAACCGCGGCTCAACCCATCACTTTGAACATCTGGGACAAGATTTATGTTCTCAACACCTTCCACACCATAATCCTTCAGTTTCTGTTTAATCTGTCATCCCACATTATGATAATGGAAAATGTGAACGAGCTGGAGAAGCATTATATACAAATACCTATACATGTATTCAGTTTTGCTATTTATTTGCTTATCTACTAATGTATTCTAAGACTGATTGACCACTTACAGCTTCCTTTGTCCAGGTATTGCATATATTACCCACGAACAACGTGTCATTGTCCTCACTAGGTGCTGTCCCACATCGCCTCCCCTGTATCTGCAAAATGGTGAATTAGTGTGAAGTTTACAAAAATATGAAACAGTAAAGGCAGAAAGAAAGATCCGTACAACAGGGTTTTTCATTTCAGACAAAGCACGTCTTGCATACTCCTTATTTTCAAACTCCACAAATGCATAACCCTTGTTCTTATTAGATGAAGGATTCTTGTGTAACCTAACTTCAACTATCCCTCCAATCCTCTCAAAGACCCTTCTCACATCTTCCTCCACAGCATCCCGATCAAGCCCACCAAGAAATATCTCACGTTCTTTCCTCATCTTGCGCTCATTTGCAATGGCTGTAAATTCCTTATGTTCATCAGCCAATCTCTCAGTTTCTTCTGCAGGATCGTCTACATAATCCTCAGGAAGTTCCTCCTCTCCAAGTTCTCCCAGATCCAATTTTTCACCATACTCTTCCATCCGTTCATCACCATTAAACACCTCTTTAGCACGCTCAATATCTTCTCCTTGTAACCCCTCTTTGGCATTTTCTACCTTGTTAGTAGCCTCAATACAGGTCTCGACTTCATCTCCATTATCCACTGACTCCTCCTGATCTCCTTTCACATCTACTCTCTCCGACTTTTCCTTATGGTCTTCTTTCACTTCCACTCCCTCTTTTACATCACAAGCTGGTTCGTTCTCACAATACTTTGAAACCTCCGCAACTAAAGATTTTTCTGCCTCAATGGGATCCTCTTCCTTGATAGGACCCTCTTCCTCAATCACTTCCACTCCCTCTTTTACATCACAAGCTAGTGCGTTCTCAGAAGACTCTGAAACGTCCCCAGCTACTGATTTTACAGCCTCAACGGAATCCTCTTCCTCGATAGGATCCTCCTCCTCAACAGGATCCTCTTCCTCTTCGGGATCCTCTTTATCTTCATTCAGGTTTACTTTTACTTCAATGGTTGTTTGTTTGATTGTTGCAGGCTCTCCAACATTCTCAACAGTGCTTACTTCAACTTCCACAATGCTTTCGTCCTTCTTTGCAGACTCCCCAACATTCTCAGCAACCGGTTTCTTCTCTCTGACTTCCACATCACTACCATCTGCCGCCTGCCCCTTGTTCACTGCATCTAGTTCCGCCTTCCCCGATCCCCCCAATTTCGGTGTCTGAGGTGAAACAGATTTAGCTGATGTCTTCAGTTTCACCCGCGACCTTTTCGCAGGTACTTTTCTCGCCACACCAACTTTCGCCGCCGGTGCCACCTTAGCAGTATCAGCTGATCCCTCAGCCCCCTCAGCTACTAATCCAACCAATAATTAAAATCAAAGAAAAAAATTTAAGTGAATAACTAACTTAATTAGTTCAATTGAGTAACACATTTCAATTTCTAGTTTTCTACATGCAGCAGCAACCAAAATTCCAGATGATAAAACCCTAATTGAATCAAACTAAATATATGAAGTTTGAAATTAAATAATAAATATACTAACTGATTAACTAATTCAATAATTACCTGATGGTTTGGGGGACTTCGAATCAGCAGGCGGTGTCGTTTCGTTCTTCTTGGCCTGCTTCACTCGGCCGGCACAAGCGCGCTTTGTATCGACGGTTTTCGGTGTGGCCACTTCTAAGTCCGGCGGGTAAGCCGCCGGTTGTGCCTTAGGCGGTTCCGCCGACGGCGTTTTCTTAGCGGTCGGCGGTTTCGAGGCGTCCGCCTTGCGAGGTCTCATGCTTAGTATATGCAGCGGATAAAACCCCTAAGAAATTGAGAGAGAGGTGGAGTTAGGGGTTTAGTTGTCGGAGGTTGTGAGTTTGACTGTGAACGGCGGAGCACGGCAGAGTTTTCAGTTCGATGCGAATAAGGTTTTGTCCAGGAGTTTGCTAAATAGAGACCTACGCGCTAAATAGTTCGTGGGAGAATTTCCCCTATTTTTGGTAATTGCAGTTGAGTGAGCATCATCGCCGGATCTCAACAAATCCAGAGATTTTCAAATCATATCAATTCATAATAAATTGTGGGTTCAAAAATGATTATAAATTTTTTTATTTAAAATTAAATATAAACAATATTTAACAAAAATTGATCGTATATTGTACAATGAATAAATATCATTAAATAATCTCCTGAATCCTCACAAAAATGATCCTCTCTCACTGCCGTTGAGGGCAAGTTAGGGATTTGGATTGAGTGTTTTTATTGCTTTTGCGTGGGTTCGCGGGAGATGAGATTATTTCTCCAATTAACAATGTTGATGCCTTGCTGCGGTTAGGAGTTAATCTTCAAGGCGTTCTTATTGTGAAGTTTTGTCCCACGTAATTTTTTTCGGAAATTTTATTTACGGAGACTTAGGTCAGAGGAGCACACAATTAAATGATACTGTTTTGTTTTATATGCTTCATGATGTTAATCAGGTAACATTTATTTTAATTAAGACGTAAATTTAGATCATGATATTTATGTTTGGGTTTGACTAATTTCGTATCTTATGTACCATGTTTGATGTTTAATAAAGCATCTAATTCATAAATAAAAAAGGTCGTTTGTAAAGACAACTTCACTGCAGAAAAACATGCTTTTATTAGTATTGGGATAGCGATTTTTACGGTTTCAAAATTTGTTATTATAATCATTTAGTATTATAATTTAATGATATTTCTCTTTATTTGTAAGTTTGAGATTATAAGTACGATTCTCGTCAAATACAACTTTAAACCACATTATTACTAGCTAATTATGAAACTTAACTCACTCCTTACACTAAATAATTTTGTTTGTTAAAAAAAAAATTGTTACTATAGTTGTCACTGTTGACAAATATAAAGTTGTGCAATGTGAGCGGTATACGTGATAAAGTGAAAAATAATACTACGAAACCGTAAATTTCTCCCGCTGATTTAGCGGATAAATAGGTGAATGCGAGTGAAGGCCACTACCAAACTCTAATTCGACGCCGCGTTTCGATCGTAAGAAGAAGCACAGCACCACCGATGGGAGCGGCAGAATCCACACTCTCAAGCTCACAGGTAGTTCTACATCTTAATCACCTCCAATTTCAATTTATTTTTCTCATTTATCCAAAATTAATTCGAATTATCATTTTTAATTCTTTAATTATGCTTCAAGTGGCTGGCCGACGAAATCACCACCGTGTCGGAGCGACCAGAGACCGCCGATCCCATCTTGGAAAGGCTCAAATCCCTTAAAGTCGTGAGTTTGCATTCTACTTTTCCAAATTTTTATCAATTTAAGAAAATGGAAGGAAAACAAGAACTAGGGTTTGAATTTTGAATTCAATTAATCGGTTACTGTTCTCAGTAAACGAGTTTTTGAGTTTGGGCGTTTGAAATGTTTGATTGCAGTCGACGCCCCTACTGACTTCGCCCCCGGATGAGGGCAGCTTGACTGACATTTTAGTGAGGAAGCCTTCGTCTTCTTCAGTGCCAAGTAAGCTGCTTCACTGAGTTATATTTTTCGGTTGCGAAAAAGATTGAAGAGAAAGAACACCAAAGATTGGACTGTTTGCTGAATTTGGAATTCTGCAGCGATTAGTATAACGGTTGGATTTTTGTAGATGTGTCTTTTTTCGTTGTGAGATTGTTGCTTGTATTTTGTTAGTTTTGATGTCAAAATTTTGCTACTCTGTTATGGATTGGCAATGTAGGTGTTGTGGATCCGAAAGTGCTTTTGGAACTCTTCTCGATGTATCGTGAGTGGGAGGAGGATAATGTCGAGAAGATGAGCAAAAGACAGGTTTGTTTTCACAAGATTACTACTGTCCTTGTTGAATGATTTGAGTTTGTTTGAAGAAATAACTCAAGTTTTTTAGGGTTCACACGTGCACTGACTGTCCGCTTTTGATTGTCGGAGGGTTATTTCATGTAATCTCGAAGTTCAGGGCACAATTTTTATTTAAGGAGAAAAAAGAACTTGAGTCTTAAGGTTTAGGGTATCTTCTTCAGTGTCCTTACTCATCTTTGAGTGTGTCGTCGTCTACTTGGTTCTTCTGGTGCTCTGGTTGGTATAACGAAACCACTGAATTAATGGGTCATGGTTAAAACTGATTCTCTGAACTGAGTTAAACAACATCAAGGAGGTAACCAGTTTAGGGATGTCTCGTTGAAATTCAAATTATTTCTTTATAGTTTCTGACCGGGTACAAACTTTCCATTTAGTGCGGTCTAAACCAGTGTTAATAAATTCTGTTGGGAGACTGACGTACTCATACACTTCCGATGTGTTTGAAATGAAGTTTGGGGTTTCTTCTTAAGGAAAATTAATGAAAATGGCTTGAAAACTGTTTTAAACGATAAGGACAAAATAAAGGGTAAAGTGAATAGTACTAGGATTGACTTTTAGTGTAAAAATGTGGTTTTTCATTAAAGTGAACAGTATTGCGACCTCTTCGTTAAAACTCCCTTCTTACTTATGAGAAGATTGTTTTTCTTATGTCGAGATTTGTACAAGATTGGTAATACATTAGCAAGGTTGTTTTGCATCCTTTCTTCCCCACAAGAAATATTCAAGCCTTGGTTTGGTGATAATTGTTGCAGGAAGAGATAGAAAATAAAATAAACGTTACGGATGCTTTGGCTGCTAAACTTCTTCAACGTTTTAATTATTCAGTGTCAGCAATGAAGACATGTTCACAACATTTATCGGAAGGTAAGTGATCACATTATACGTGTTTAGGGGAGAAAAATGTATTTTTTAAGGGTCTTTTTCCCTCAGCGGCATTTGATGGACCTACTGTATGATGAAATCGGTGGTATCTGTTGCACGTTGTCATGACTTTCGGAGTTTGCTTATATTTCATCATGATCTATTTTTACTTGTTCTAACTTCGTATTGGAACACCCATGCAGTCCATTCGTTGCAGGTGGAGATTGGGGAGCTTAAGGAAGGTTAACAGAGGTCATTAGTAACTGCGATGCACTGTGCCGGAGAATATCTGTTGAAGGACCAGAATCCCTCCGGTCATCCATCACGCCGTTTTCTGTCTGCACCACCGGCCAAGAAACCCAATCTAGCTCAAGCTCTTCCGATCTGCAAAGAGATCCAGACCGAAGCCTACCCTCTGCCGAAGCCAAGTTAGACTGATTTTGCATTCTTTCGTTCGTTCTTGTACAAAATCTTTGTAGAGATTGTGGTTTATCGATATCATGAATGATAACACATGTTTGATTCGTTTCTTTCGATATTCATTTTTGAATTAACATATAACTATTTTCGAGCGCTAATAACACCTCTCTAAAAATACAAAAAATGAAAAGGACAGGGTAGGGAACATGACAAGTAAGCTAGGAAACAAACATCCTTAATCAGATCCACGTGGGCAATCGCCATCACCGACAAAAACTTTTACCATGATCTTATTTTACCGAATCCAATTATTGTACAGAGAAAGGTATCATCATATCCAGATACCCCAGATTCACAGATTTCCGTCAATGAAAACTAAAAACAAAAAACGAACTGATTATCAAATGGATCTTAATCTAAAAACTAAAAACGAACTAATTATCAAACGGATCTTAATCTATAAATCTCGTGAATTCGAGACCGGAAACGAACACAGTGCAAGAACAATTCAAGTATGTAAATTGCTGAAAAATGAATGAAGTTACAGAAAAATTAAAAACAAAAACAACTCTCGAAGCGAAAGAACTAAGCCACATTATAACTTAAAACACTCTTTTGGCACCCTATGTACCCAGCAGGAGAGAAATCAAGGCTGTTGCTGAGCATCCATGTACCCAGCATCCACAAGCACCTTCTCCCTCTTGGCCAATTCAACGTCTTCGTCCACCATCATCTTCACCAGCTGCTGAAACCCAACTTTCGGCTTCCAACCCAGCACCTTCTTCGCCTTGCTCGCATCCCCTTTCAGATTATCCACCTCCGACGGCCGCAGGTACCTCTTATCGATCACCACGTGGTCTCTCCAGTTCAATCCGACGTACCCAAACGATACCTCCAGGAACTCCTCCACCGTGTGCGACTCCTCCGTCGCCACCACGTAGTCGTCCGGCTTCTCCTGCTGCAGCATCATCCACATCGCCTCCACGTAGTCCCCGGCGAAACCCCAGTCCCTCGACGCCTGCAGATTTCCCAAGAACAGCTTGCTCTGCAGTCCCTCCTTGATCCGACCCACGGCCCGGGTGATCTTCCGGGTCACGAAATTCTCCCCCCGCCGCGGCGACTCGTGGTTGAACAGAATGCCGTTGCACGCGAACAGTCCGTATGCCTCACGGTAGTTCACGGTGTACCAATGCGCCGCGCATTTCGAGACGGCGTAAGGGGATCGGGGGTGGAACGGCGTCGTTTCGGACTGGGGAGGCGGGGTGGCCCCGAACATCTCGGACGACCCAGCCTGGTAGTACTTAATGTCGGTGCGCCCGGTGGCGGCGATGTGGGAGCGGACGGCCTCGAGGAGGCGGAGGGAGCCTGTGGCGACGACGTCGGCGGTGTAATCGGGGATCTCAAACGAGACGGCGACGTGGGATTGGGCGGCGAGGTTGTAGACCTCATTGGGGGCGATGGTGTCGAGCCAGCGGCGGAGGGAGGAGGCGTCGCTGAGGTCGGCGTAGTGGAGCTTCATGCGGGCCTTATGGGCGTTGTGAGGGTCGATGTAGATGTGGTTGATTCGCTGGGTGTTGAAGTTGGAAGACCGTCGGATCAGGCCGTGGACGTCGTAGCCTTTTTCGAGGAGGAATTCGGTGAGGTAGGAGCCGTCTTGGCCGGTGATGCCGGTGATGAGTGCGACCTTGCGGTGCTCCGGCGGATCAGGAGCGGAGCCGTTGGAGGTTAAGGATCCGGATCTGGCGGTGTCGATTTCGGATGCCATTGGGGGTGTGGTGGAGTCGTGGGGGTGTGAGGAGAAATGAGGAGGGCGGGAGTGAGGAAGTGAGATTGTGAGGAGACGGTGCGATTTTCGGAGGAATTTTAAGGAGGGAGGGAGGGACAGATCCAACACTGGTGGC